GGGGTTTCCTGACCCAGCTAGGGAACATCATCAGTGCTAGAAGGGGATGGGGATTGAGGAGAGGAGGAGGACGGCTGTGAGGTCCTTGCTACTCACAAATCTTGGTGATTTTCGTGTACACATTTCATGACCCAACTAGGGAACATCATCAGTGCTAGAAGGGGATGGGGATTGAGGAGAGGAGGAGGAAGAAGAGGAGGAGGAGGAGGAAGAGGAAGAGGAGGAGGAGGAGGAGAAAGAGGAAGAGGAAGAGGAGGAGGAGGAGGAGGAGGAGGGCTGTGAGGTCCTTGCAGTTTGCAAATCTTGGTGATTTTCGTGCAGACATTTCCTGACCCAACTAGGGAACATCATCAGTGCTAGAAGGGGATGGGGATTGAGGAAAGGAGGAGGAAGGAAGGAAGAGAGGGAGGAGGTTTTTGGTGCTCTCTGAGCTTGGTGGTTTTCTCGCAGACGTTTCACGGCCCAACTAGGGAACATCATCAGCGCATCACTGATGTCATCTACCTTAGTGACGAAATGTTGCACCAAGGACCTCATATACTTAATATTCCTTCCTCCTCCTATTTCCCCTACAACAACAATAACCCTGTGAGGTGGACTGGGCAGAGAGAGAAGGACTGGTCCAAAGTCACCCAGCTGGATTTCATGCTTAAGGCGGGACTAGAACTCCTCATCTCCTGGTTCCTTTAACCCACTAAAAAAATGCTCTTTTAGCTTTTTAAACCAACTTTTAAAACTGTTTAGCTTTTTAACCGATGGGCTAGTTTCCTGAGCACGTAGGGAGAAAGCAAAACTTCTCCAGTCTTGCGGATTCTGCCTTGCCGTGGGGTTGCCGGGATGGGAGGCCACCAAGAGATCTTGGGGATGCGTTCAAACCAGCCGCCACGCCCTTCGCACCATCGTAAAGGAGCGCCTGGGAACCTACCTGCAGCAGACGGTCTCCAAGGGGATGATCTGCAGCTGGCTGGCTCCGGTGAAGAGCGACGGAGCCAGATCGGCCGTAAGCGCGAGCTCCTCCGTGTAGATGTACTTCAGGATGCTTTGCAGGAGGGAGGGAGGGACGTTCTCCAGCTGGACCTCCGACCCCTCCAGCTCTTTCCCACCTTGGACGAAGACGTCCCGGAAATAAGGACTCACGGCTGCCAGCAAGGCCCTGCAACGAGAGAGGCAGATGTCGACACGGGGTTTAGACACCTGTGGCGTTGATATAGGCCGGGGTTTCTAACGCTAGTCCCCGGGACAACGTTCCTGCGAGGATGGTGGACCTGGAGAGGATTTTCTACAGATTTTCTGCAGGGCCAAACAAGGAAGCAAATCCTGATTCCAGCGAACCCAGTCAATTGCTTTCTAGATTAACCATTTTTTCTTCTTTCACGATCAGCCTTGCCATTACAGCACGATTCGCACAGTTATCCCGGAAAATTACCCCCAAATTTGTAGAAACTAACAGAATTAACAGAGTTGGAAGGGACCTTGGAGGTCTTCTAGTCCAGCCTCCTGCTCAGGCAGGACATCTTATTCCATTCTAGATAAATCACTGTCCAGTTTCTTCATGAAAACCTCAGAACGCCCAGAAGCGAGTCGCTTAACGGCCATGGCAAGAAAGGTCGTAAAAACGGAGCAAACCCCACTTAACTATCATGTTTAGCAAGTGGAAACTTTAGAGTCCGTTACAGTCACAACTGAGCGCCAAATTTGTGCTGCTAAGTGAGACGTTTCACGGCTTCTCACGCCGCATTTGTTCAACGCATCCCATGCAGCTGTTAACGTTAGTCGCACGGTCGTTAAGCGAGCCTGCCTTCCTCGTGGACCTTGCTGCTCAGAAGGTCGCCAGAGGGGATCGCTCGGGGAGAACTGGAACCGTCGTAAACGTGAGTCGGTGGCCTAGCCTTCCGAATGTTAAGTCGCGTGACCCCCGTGGGGATGCTGGAGTGGCCATAAGCGTGGAAACACGATCCGAAGAACCTTTTTTCCCCCCAGCGACGTCGTAAGGACTGGCTGATTTTGCCTACCCCACCCCTCCCCTCCCTGGAGTCTCCACGCGGCCTGTTTTGGATGCGATGTAAGAGCCTGCGTGGAGGCTCCGGGAGGGCGAAAAATAGGCCTCCCTCAAGTCCTAAAATTGGGCTGTTTCCAGCCTCCGGAGCCCAGGGGAAGTTGTTTTCACCCTCCCGGAGGCTAGGAGAAAGCCGTCAGAGCCTGGGGAGGGTGAAAACAACTCCCCACCACCCGCCATGGTGCAGAAGGCCAAGCAGGCCATGCCCCCCATGGCAACCCAGCCACCGGGCAGAGATTTGCAAACATTTTTCAGTCTCACCACCCTGCTCAGGGTGGTAACGGTTCGTTACGACGGGACGCGGAAAGAATGACATATCACCGGTCTTAGAAGTTTGATGACTTTCTGATAAGTTTCGAACAAAGTTTGGGGAGCCCGTGGGCACCGGCGAGACCCTTACCTGTGGCATGGAAACCTCTGTCCATCGGCCACCAGCGTAACGTCACAGAGCAGCTCCCCCTGGTACATCTCGGTCAGTCCTGGCTCCGGGAAGAGGAGACAAGCTCAGATCAACAAGCCAGGTTAAGGACCAACATTTTCCCACCTTCCACCCAAGCTCCAAATTCTTGAGCAACGGCAAAAGATGGAAAAATTCGCATTTCCCCGTTCCCCCCCCAAAAAAATATGACAAACGGAAAGTCTTTTTTCGCGCATTAAGAACAGGTAGTCCCATACTTACGACGGTTCGTTTAGCGACCGTTCGAAGTTACAACGGGACTGGATAAAGCAACTGAGGACCGGTTTTTTCCCCGTTTACCGTCCCTTCTGCGGTCAGGTGGTCAAAATTCAGATGCTTGGATGCTGACTCGTATTTATGGTGACAGCGTCCTGGCGGGGGGGGTGTCACCCGATCCCTTTTTGTGACCTTCCAACAAGTCGATGGGGAAGCCCGATTCGTTTAACAACCGTGTTCCCCATTGATCAACTGCAGGGATTCGCTTAACAACCGTGGCAAGGAAGGTCGCGAGACGGGGCAAAATAGCCGTCTCGCTTAGCGACAGAAATTTGCAATCGTAAGTTGAGGATTATCTATAGGATAAGCATTGGGTTTCTAAGTATGGGAAGCATCCTTCCCTTAGACTTCAACTCCCAGAATTCCTCATGGCTGGCTGGCCGGCTGGCCTGGGGAATTCTGGGAGTTGAAGTCCACGTGTCTTAATGGTTGAAACACGCTGCTCTAGAGAAATCCAGAGGACATTGTCTCTTCTTTTCCTCAAGAATGAAGTTTAAAAAGAAAAAAAAAACACTTTCGGAGGGAGAAACTTTTTAAGAACTTAGATATCGGCACTAAAACTTTTTCTATGGTTTCTTCGTTCTTCTGGGGAAACTTTTAACACACTTCAAATTAACGACCCACAATTAAAATTATTTAGCGTTCCAGCGTAACTCTGGAACACCTCGAGCAATTTCAACCGAACTTGGTACACAGGTGACTTACTCTCTGGAAAGAAATACTGTGGGGGGGGGGAGATAACCCTAATACCGCTCAGGGTGTGTCCCCCTGTGTGTGTGTCCCTGTGTGTGTGTGTTCGAGCATAACTCCTGGGCCGCTGAAATGAAAAGGACTGAATTACATCTATCGTGTCAAGTCACAGTACTTTTGACACTGATCGTGTGCATTCAAGTTCTGTTAAAATACAGCCTGTTGTGCCTTAAAATGCCTTCTACTGTACAGCACAGTGGAGCTGCTATAGTAACACCCGTAACAACACCCCTCGGGCTGTGTGTTCTGTTAAGATGTAGCCTGTTGTGCCTTTAAATGGCTTCTACTAACTACTGTAAAATGGCTTCTACTGTACAGCACAGTGGAGCTGCTATGGTAACACCCGTAACAACACCCCTCGGGCTGTGTGTTCTGTTAAGATGCAGCCTGTTGTGCCTTTAAGTGGCTTCTACTAGACTATTGTAACATGGCTTCTACTGTACAGCACGGTGGAGCTGCTATGGTAACACCCGTAACAACATCCCTTGGGCTGTGTGTTCTGTTAAGATGCAGCCTGTTGTGCCTTTAAGTGGCTTCTACTAGACTACTGTAAAATGCCTTCTACTGGACTACGGTAAAATGGCTTCTACTGTACAGCGCAGTGGAGTAACAGCTTCAAAGTACTCCACAAGGGGGGATCCCTCTGGTAATTATGTTTGGTCCGGACAATTTCCCCGCTGAAAATAAATACATGTGCAACGCCGGGCTATTAACTAGTTTACTATAATAGCAATCTATCATTTTAAGATTTCCAAACTACAGTTCACAAAATGCGAAACTACTCCTGTGGGAACGGTTGTGTTGTGAACCCTTTGAAATTGGGACAGCCGTAGTTAAGAGGTCTCTTGAAACTCTTACCTTCTTTTAAGCCAAGAGGTCTTGGTTTTAGCTTGGTGATCTGTCCTCTTTTCTGGCTGGTACTCATCATGAGCTATCAAACAAAGAAAGTTGCATCAACAAGAACGAGAGAACTTCTTGAGTTGATGGCCTTTCATCTTTTAATACTTCTCCAGGATGGCGTGGCAGATAGGCTGAACTTAAGAACTGAAGTCCTGTCTCATAGGTCTCCCTTAGTTCAAGGTTCTCAGCCTTGGTCGCCTTCAACTTCCAGAGTTGAAGTCCACCATTGTCTTTAGGTGGCCAAAGTTGAGAACATTGGGCTAGAAGAAGAAGGAACAACAAGGAAGACCCACTCCTCCTTCTCTGGAAGTTGAAGTTGTGTGAAGACCTGAAGATGTGTGGGCTTCAACTCCGGAAGTTGAACGTCCACATATCTTTAGGTAGCCAAAGTTGAGAACATCGGACTAGAAGGAAGGAAGGAACAACAAGGAAGGCCTACTACTACTCTTCTGGAAGTTGAAATCATGCAAAGACGTGAGAACGTGTGGACTTCAACTCTGGAAGTCCACCCAACTTCAGGGATGGACTTCTAGGATGGAGTAATGTTGAGGAGGTTAGGAAATATAAGAAAATTGGAGGAGGAAGAGGAGGAGAAGGAGGAGGAGAAGGAGAGGGAGAAGAAGAGAGAAGGAAGAGAGGAGGAGGAAGAGGAGAGAAGAGAGAGGAGGAGGAGAGAGAAGGAGTAGAAGGAAGAGAGGAGGAGGAGAGGAGGAGTAGAAGGAAGAGGAGGAGAAGAAGAGAGGAGGAAGAGGAAGAGGAGAGGAGAGGGAGGAGGAGGAGAGAGAAGGGGTAGAAGGAAGAGAGAAGAAGGGGAAGAAGAGAGAAGGAGGAGAAGGAAGAGAAGAGGAGGAAGAGAGGCGGAGAGAGGAGAGAGAAGGGAGGAGGAAGAGGAGGAAGAGAGGAGGAAGAGGAAAAAGAGGAGGAAGAGGAGGGGAGAGAAGGAGTAGAAGGAAGAGAGGAGGAGGAGAGAGTAGAAGGAAGAGAGGAGGAGGAGGAAGAGGAGAGAAGAGAGAGGAGGAGGAGAGAGAAGGAGTAGAAGGAAGAGAGGAGAAGTAGAAGGAAGAGAGGAGAAGGGGAAGAAGAGAGAAGGAGGAGAAGGAAGAGAAGAGGAGGAAGAGAGGCGGAGAGAGGAAAGAGAAGGGAGGAGGAAGAGGAGGAAGAGAGGAGGAGGAAGAGGAAAAAAGGAGAGAGGAGGAAGAGAGGAGGGGAGAGAAGGAGGAGGAGGAAGAGAGGAGGAGGAGAGAGGAAGAGGACTTCTACGATGGAGTAATGTTGAGGGGGTTAGGAAATATAAGGAAATCGGACAAGCTGCCCTCTGTAACTTATCATTTTATCGACGTATAAAATAAAAATAGAAAATTAAGGGAAGGAAAAAGAAAGGGGGAACAAAAATTCGAGGTACGAGGGAAGAAAGAAAAAGGGGTTCGACTTCTGACTCTTTTTAGCACAGTGACAATATTACAACCTTTTCCTCCTTTTATTTTTGCATCCTGAACTCGACACATCCCGGCAGGGAAAATTTTGGATTTGAGAGTTGGAAATGGGCGAGGAGGTGACATCCCTTCTGATCGTAAAAGACTCCGGCTGCCGGTTTTCTTACCTCTTGATGATACGGTAGCCCAGTTATAAAAAGTGTCGGGGGGAAAAAATATGTCACTCTACCCTGGACCCATCAGTCTGGGCCAGCGCAATGCCCAGGGACCCTGGCAAAGTCGCCCCCTGCCCATCCGCTCTCTGGGGCCGCTTCTCCAGAGTCTTCTGGTGCCTTCTGCCATCCCTTAAGGCCAAGAAGTTCTGCCCCCAGCGAAGGACGAGCTCTCAGCCTTTCTGGATACACAGCCATTATGATGTCACATCCGCACCCTGAATCTCTGTGCAGAGAAAAAAGGCATTTGACAGGTTAGAGTGGAATCTGGATTTTCTTTCTCTCTCTCTCTCCCTCCAGGGAGAGCCCTTGGGGTGAGCTTGTTAGAAGATCCTGGCCATTCTTTGTAGATTCCTTGGCCATGATTTTGAATCAGTTGCTGCCGGGACCCCCCGGGGGGAAATGGAGACGCAAGGATTTTCAAGATAAATCCTTTCCGTTCTGTTCCGAAACTGGCTTCAGATATTAAAACGTTGAATGAAACGTGTTCGTGTTTTCTTTAACCTTGTTTATTTTCCCTCGATGAAACGGACCTGAGACAGGGCCAGGGTTTAAAACCAAAACAACTGTTTCAACTCCAGGCAGTCCTCGACGTACAACGGTCCTCAAAGTTACAACGGGCACTGGAGAAAGGGACCTCTTTTTTCCACAGTTATGACCTCTGCAGAAATCCCTGTGGTCACGCAATCAAAATTCAGATGCTTGGCAACGGGTTCATATTTACGACGGTTGTGGTGTCCTGGGTTAGTCACATGGGGATCCCCTTTTGCAACCTTTTGACAGGCAAAGTCAGTGGGGGAAGCCAGATTCACTTAACAACCGGGTGACTGACTTATCAACTGCAGGGATTCGCTTAACGACGGTGGTGTAAAAAAAGTGGTAAAATGGGGGCAGAACTCACCTAACCAGTGTCTTGCTTAGCCACAGGGATTTGGGGCTCCATTTTTGGTCGTAAGTCGAGGACTAGCTGTAAAGTGCAGAGGGATGGCGTCCGATTTTCACTTTTGTTAAAATGTCCCGGAATAACGAGGAAAGTTTGTTTGAGGGGCAAGGAATTAAATATTAAACGGGGGATAGATTTAATTCCAACAGGTAAAATGTGTTGCTGTAGCCAAACTTTTCATGCCAGTTTTTCTCAACTCGGGCAATTTTAAGGTGGGTGGACTTCAACTCCCAGAATTCCCCAGCCAACATGATTTAAGGCGGGTGGACTTCAACTCCCAGAATTCCCCAGCCATCATGATTTCAGGCGGGTGGACTTCAACTCCCAGAATTCCCCAGCCATCATGATTTCAGGCGGGTGGACTTCAACTCCCAGAATTCCCCAGCCATCATGATTTCA